ATATTGTTATCTGAAAATTCTACTTTTATATTGAAAATAAAATATACTTTCATTTAAAACTATGAAAAATAAATATTTTCATTATTTTCCCGGAAAATTTGAGGGAACTTATTAGGGAACTTAGTCCATAGTGAAGATGTTCGAACTCTACATATGTGATAATTATTATTATTAAATATCTTGATTTTTGTTTACATATAAAAACAATTAAACTTTTATTGTTTTGTTACATATATTTACTGTAAATAATGTTATATTGATATAATTTAATTAATTATTTTTTCAGTATTTAATTATGTTTTTATTTATATTAAAACTCACTTTGTATTTATTTTTTTAATATTAAATTTCATAGACTGTAAATACAGTAAATAAAAATGATTTCCGCACTTTGGCGTCGAAAATTGATAGGAGGGGGGCCCTAACTTTTTGGCTTTAGGCCAGGAAGTAAGATCCAAAAAATTATGATCTTAAGGGGGAAACCGGCTTACCCTCTTCACCCCCTAACACATCCCTGAATAATTCATAATAATAGTAAAAATCAATTCATTGGTGTAAACAAATGGGTCTTTTATTCCCAAAACACAAACAAAATTGATTTGCATTTTTGTTTGCTATACTATTAATATTTTTAATAATAATCGACTTATTTATTATATCACATAATAAATTCAATGCTAAAAAACTTTCAGTAAAAATAAAATTTTATGAAATATTAGAATACATTAAACATTAATAAAACTCAAACAAATTTAAATACATATACCAATAAATGTTTAGTTCAAATAAATTTATCAAATTTCGTATAAAATAATATATTTTGAATTACAGTATTAAACTAATTTATTTTTATAAAGTTATATTAATATAAACATAATTTACATTATGCTAATAAAAAATATCGTAATCTAAATGTACTTTAATTATTGATTGACAACATTTTTCTTTGAAAATTAGGAAATTTATATCAAATTTTTAAAAGAAATTTCTCTCTATAGGTTTCTCATTTTAATTTTGTTTTTTCTAAATTGTCTTATTTAAAAAGATTATTTATTAAATATTTAAGTTAATTGTTAGTAAAAATCAACACATTTTGTACAATTATTTTAAATATATTTTTGTGTCATAAGTAATCATCAAAGACACCATTTTCTAGTAAAAATCATTTTAATTATATGGAAAAATGTTTTTTAGACAAATTTCAATATATAGAACTAAATGAGACACACTTTATGTTCCTATAAATTCTAGTTTTAAGTTTTAATCCTAAAAGTCCTAGAAATGATCTATATTTAAAAATTTATATCAAATTAACATAAAATATAAAGATAATTATATTATAATATGTAAAATATATAATATACATACAGCATATTATTTATCTAATAATTAAATTTACAAATACTTATAAATAATCTATAATTTAATTTTTACATATTTATATATATTTAATCTAAATATAAGTAATTTTTTTAATTGCCGTTTAAAAATACAATAAAAGTCTATATTACACCCTATTTTTCAATATTTTTTTCATTTTACACTACCCTATACACCCACAAAATTGGTAATCTTGATATAAATATACAAACAATTTTAATATTAATAATTAATTGATTTATAATACTATGTGAACATAATACCATAATTAAACTTTAATAATAAAATGCCATTTTTTTAATTTACATAATTTACAGTATTCTCACTATTTTTGTGTGTCATTAAAATTTTTATATATTAATATTATTTGCTCATATTATTGAATAATAATTTTTTCGTGAAAACCCTAGAAAATCCTAAAACGTTCATTTTTTACTCCTATTTTTAACCTATATTTGGTACTTTTAAATACTAGAAAGTATTGTCTTTAGTTATGACTAATAATATTCATTCAATATAAAATAATTTAAATTTTAAAACAAATATTTTTATTAATGCTATATGCAGTAATATACAGAGCTATACAATGTATATTGTATAGACATTGTGCATAATATGGTGGAGTATTATAATTAATAAGGTGTTTAGGGATTTCATTGTAAATTTATTTAATAATTAGAAAAATTAATTATAAAAAAACTTTATAAAAAAATTTCTTATGGATATTTATTTAAAATATTAATTTTAATCTATAGTTATCCTAAAATATTAAATATAAATATCAACTCAATATTTATAATTACAACAATTATAATAAGTATATACTGTATACAGTTAATAGTAGGTACATATAGTTAAAATACAATTATTTATTACAATATATTAATCTAATTATAAAAATTAAGGTATGTATTATGTGTTATATCATAAATATAATTATTTTTCAAATTGTTATAAAAATAAAATATTATTCATGTATAACATTGATGACACATAAATACAGAGGTAAACAATTGATTAAATAACGCGAAAAAGTTGATTCATTATAAAAAGCAACATAAATGCAAAAATAGATAATATAGTGCTTTAAATGATATGGAAAACTACTTTAAATGGATATCACATGAATAATATTTTTTATGTTCACTTAACTTATTGTATTTATAATATAAAACATTTTTGGGTTTCATTCAAATATTATATATAATGTGAAACATCTATTGAATGAAAGAATTCTAGTTCTCTTTTATATGCAATCAAACCATTGAAATAGTAATAGAATTTGAAAGCAATATAAAGAATATTTACAATAAATTCAATTTAATGCAAAATAGTTGTTACTAAAAATGTAATCAATATATGAATAAAACAAACAAAATATTCGCAACAATTTTTTTGGCCAAAAATCATACTCTTTTTTAAGTATTCAACAATATATTGATTTAAATTTTTCAATGTGAATAATATTAATAGTATTTATAGCGTTTAATATGATATGACTTTGAATTTAATCAAAACAAACATCAATATCCAGTACTTATGTGAGAGTGATATTAGATTATACATAGAAATATATTTATATATATAAATAAAAGTATACGTGACAAATGGCATATTTTTATACTTTAAATATGTAATCATATATACGATATGTATGAATATATTTGAATAAAAATATTGTCGAAATAAAAAATGCATATATGGTTGTATTGGTCCCAAAAGATTAGTTAACTGAATGAGAAAAATAAAAATTGAGAAAACTATCTTTATTTAAATAAATATCTGCTTAAAAAAGTAATTGTATGACTAAACAATCAAATAAAAAAGGCAATACTAACAACAAGTATTATATTATAAATATAAATAATATTCTCTACGGAATCTAAATCATCATTAAACTAATTATTATTAGTATTAGTATTATTGATGTTTATTTCTAAGTATTTCATTTTTTATTATTATTATTTTTATTTTAACTATAGTTTTCTAAGTCATATATATAAATAACATCAGAATGCTTAATGTAATGCCAAATAAAAACTAATAGAAATATATAAATTTAGATAAAATATATAAAATAAAGAAAATGAAAAATCAGTGGATATTGATGGGGGTATTACTGTCTCTGGGAAACAATACAGAAGGTTTTTCTTGTATTTTACGATTACTTTATTTATTTTTTATGTACACCAATATATATATATATCTTTTATCTTATATTAAAAAATATTTGTAATATTAGATAGAAAAAGAGAGAAAATATATATTATACGATATTTCATTACATATACTGTATGTACAGTAGTATTGCTTAAAGTTAGTGTCAGTGTTAGAGACACTGCATATGACTCAAGTCATGTCTTAAACTATTAACTGAAAACAATACTAATCTTTAAGGAATTTGGGATTTATTTTGAAATTTATTATTTAAAAGAAACAAATGAAAAATCTTTATATATATATATCTTATTCTTGTATAAATTTATTCTTATATTGTGTGTCTATACTTAAAAATAACAAACAATTTTAACAATTTATAAACAATTCAACTGAAAATAAAAGAAATAACGCTTATTATAGAGTACTTAACCTCATTATAAAAGTATTACAATTTTGATGAACTTTTTTCACAGAGAAAAAAATTAAAAACTAGTATTAAAATTTATAATAACTTTTTTTACCGGTAATTATATTTTTAGTTAATATTTTTTATTGTTATAAATCACAAAATTGTTCACTCTCTATAATCAATTTAATCAATTAATCATTTTTTGTCAATCAATAAAAAAGTAAAAACAGGAAAATTCCCAAAATTTTAGCCAACTTTCACTACACAACAAAAAAGATTTTTCAATTATGAATTATATCATTTTCTTGCGGATAAATACTATTAATAAAAATATTTTGTCATTTATTACTTGTTTTGACTTCCAAGGAGTCCATCCCTTACTGCCGGTTAAGTCATTCATTCATATGTACTGTCCATTGGTTTAAGCATTTATGACAACCAAAAACACATTGCACTGTATTTTTCGGCTAACAATTAATTACACAGCAAATGACAGTTCAGTTTAAATGACTTACAAAATGCAATATCTCTTTCAAACAATAAGAGAAAAATTCAATTAATTTTATACTCAAACTAAAAATAAAGATTTAATTATAAATGAATCTAATTATATCTAAAATTCATTACTTATACTATTGAGATTTGACTTCATTTGATACTAAATAAACTGAATTAAAAATTTACAGTATCTTTGCTTAAAACAAGTCATTAAATTATATGACATTTGATTGTAGAGATTAATGATTTAAAAATCTGTATTTATTAGTGTAATGAGTGTCAAAATATATTAAATTAAAAATGTTTTTCAACTAAGTTTTATTTATATCTATATATAATTATGTAGAAATATTTAATAAACTTTTTAAGTATAAAAAAATAAATAAGTTTATGTTAGTAAAACAATGTTATTTATTTTATATTTATTATCTAATAAAATAAATTTTTTAAATAATCCAAATGAAAACTACATGTACTCAGTATTGCTAATGAATTACAAATTTGTTAAAATTGATTATTTTTTGGCATCAAATAAAATTCAAATAAACATCACTATAAATGACGACAAGTGATCACTAATTGTAACTTAATTTTGATTCAATTATCACTTATCGCAAAAAATCATTTATTAAACCACTTGTTTAACGTTTTGCTAAATTACTTAAAGTAATACAATAAACATTGTTTGTCAGCACATATGCGATATCTACAGTCTTTCGTCAAAAATATATAATGCAATCAATTATTAAATAAATTTTATTAACTAATAGAAAATGTCTACAAAATGTTTAACTAAACGGTTGGATCTCATAAACTTCGGGTTCCCTTTTGGGCGCCAGAGCTGAGTCAATCATAAAGTCTTGTAAAGGCTTTGGCGGCCGATTCTTGCGACCACAATAGCCGTCTTTCCTATGCCAGGCACCCGATCGCGGTCTATAACCCAACCATCGACTCCTCTGTGGACACATCCGGTTAATTGTGTGATGATATGGATTAGACATCCGTCCGATGGTAACCATACATCGTTCGTCAATACAGATCTCACGCTCAGGAAGTCTTAACTTTAAATAATTCTTTTTACCGACTCGTCTAACAATTTCAGCAAAATTTCCGGCGCCCCGAACCAATGTCCCGCCCTCTCCGGGTCGTACTTCAACGTTGTTCACTTTTGTTCCGATGGGAAGGGCGCCCACCGGATGATTATCACCCTCTTTAGGTCGAATAGGATTACGCGGAATATCCGAATAAGTGGTCACAATGTCTCCCACTTGCATCGTCTCTGTGGCCGTAATCCATCGGATCTTATCGCCTGTAAAAGTCAAATATGATATATTGCCGGACAAATCATATAAAAACACATCAGTCATACCTCCGGCCACAAGAGCTAACTTCGTGGTCCTTAACGGATCGTATCTGATTTGAAACACTTTCTCTCTGAATGGTATACCGTCGGGATTGACCTCATTCTTGTAGTCAATCCAACGGAAGTACTTCTTGTTTCCGCCGCCTCTTGTCTTGACAACTACACGACCAGTTTGTGGGTCTCTTCCGCCCAATTTCTCAATCTTAAGCGGGTATACGGTATAATTGCCGTCGAGTGGATAGATTGGACGCCACGCATACTTGTGTGGTACGGGAACTGGTTTGCCGGGCAATGGTTTCCGCGGATGACCGCGAATACGCGGGTGGACTGGTTTGAAGCGGACAGACATGTATTGGTTGAGTGCATTGATTGGCCTTAAAAAGACCGACCGATTTATGTCTTGAGTGGCCATCAATGCCATCGACAGCAATGGTTTCAATGAATTCATCACTTTTTATGACATCAAACACTTATCAATCAATTATTTATTAATTGTTTAATTCAATTGTAATCTAAAATATATTTATTTTATTAATTTATTAATTCATTACATGTTTTGTATTCAATTTAATGCATCAAAAACTGTAAACAATTTTATAACATCAGTATATATTATATAACGAAATTTTAGTCCCATTTCTATGTTTTTGATTAAATATAATAATCATAGTTTACTAATATGTAAAAAGGTCTAACATCACAAACAATTCATGTATTAGATCATTGTTTGCCATCTATTGACAGCAAATTACAATATTATTATAACTTTTTATTAAATTTTTAATTTACAGTAAATTACGATTTATATACCGTTAGTATACTGTATAATAAATACAGTTTATATACAAAATATAATTGTAATAAAAATGGTTTTATTATTAATATAAATTTATAATAAAATATAATTTATGACATAAAAACTTTATAAATAGGAATATGTGATAAATACTTTCAAAATTTATTTTTAAAAAGCAATTAAAATAAAATTATTAAATCACTTTTTGAGTGTCTTTTTACTATTTTTAACATTTTTAGTGATCTTTGCTTTTTGCCGAAAGTCCTGTTCCTCCTCTGATTCCGAGATAAAGGCAGACAATTCATCATTTTTATTGTTGTCATCATTACTGCAAACACTTTCCTCGTCTACAGATTCTTCCTCTTCTCCATCACTCTCTTCTTTTTCATTTTCTTCTTCATCCTCGTCATTATCATCTTCTTCGGCATCTTCTTCGGCATCTTCTTCGGTATCTTCTTCGGTATCTTCTTCGGTATCTTCTTCTTCATCATATTCATCAACAGTTTTATCTTTTTGATCCGATCTTCTAATCTCATCCATAGTACTATTAAAGCTTTGATTTTCAGAAAGCACTTGTGGTGCCGGCGCCGCCTTGTTTTGCTGAGGCAGGTGTGCAGCTCGTGGTACTGCCACTTGTGTTGGCCTTTTAGGGATCGCACTCTTATTTATCACTTTCTTTGAGATCACAGGTTTGCGTGATTCCCGATGATTGCGATTATATTCTAAGACTTTGAATAGATTTTCCATATCATCTAAATTTTTGAGAAGTCCTCTGTCATGGATGTCCTCAACATATTTATCAAAGACTTGTTTATCATTTTCATAGACATTCATCTCTTTGTTGTGTCGAATGACATCTTCTTTAGCCATTTTATCGTACTTTTCTTTTTCTTTTACCGACACTTCCTATCATAATATTAAATAAATATCTTAATTGTGTTAATTAAGATGGGATCAGTTGAGACAATACCTTCCATCGTTTGTTTGCCAATTGGGTCTTCTGTTTGAGAGATAACTTGAGTCCATCTTTACTTTTATTTGTCGCAAAATAATTGATTTTAAAGAATTGATAAGAATTTCGTTTGCCTTTTGGTCGCTTAGGTTTTGGCACCACTTCAAGGGTCATATCATTGAACCGATTGACCATATCTTCAATATTTTCAGACATTTTTATCTTATTATTATTATAATACAAGTGATGGTTAAATATCGAGATATTAATTAATTGTAATGTTGTAAATGTAATGACAAAAATCTTTTTGAATATAATCTATGGTTTTAGATAATAGTGAATAAATTTTTTAATTAATGATATATTATTTTTGCGCATTTAATCGTAGTTTTCTATATTATATTTTCAGACCAATAAAGATCACAATAAAAATGAAATTTTTTTTCAGAAACGTTTAGATTAACAAAATATATAATACAAGTGCATTAGAAATAAATGTTTGGATAATATACATATACTGTAAGTTGGAAAATTTCCATATTAATTAATTTCAACTTTATTATAAATATTGTAGATTTTTGTTTTAATGTATTTTGATTTAGTTAAATACTGTACAAGTATTTTATTTTTTTTTGTTAAAAAAATTCAACTTAAGTATAATTATGGGAACATGGAATTTAGGGATACTATTAATATACAGTATTGAACCATAATTATAAATTATAATTATAAATACTAGTATATGAAAAATTGTTTTATCACTTGTATGTCAAACTAATATCATTTCTAAAGGTAAACTTTTTTTTGTGTTCAAATGATTAAAACATTTGCGATGAAATGTTGATTGCAATCCAATATCTATCGACTTGCAGTTGCAGTACTAATAAATCATAACATAGCATATCTTATGCTATAATACTATAGTAGTCCTTATAATTCAAGATAAAAAATATTTTTTATTTACTGATAATTTTTTTGTTTATTTGCTAAACCTTAATTTATATTTCAATTATTTTAAAAGTAAATTATATTTTTTATATTTATTTTTAAAGCATTTACTTAATTAAATGAAATTTCATATTATATTTTATATTAATACAGTAAGATAAATTCTAAAACATATACAATAGTTATACTATAATAGCATAAATTCATTATAATAATTAAATCAATAAAAACTATATTTTTGCATTTAATATATCTGAAATATAAATGCATATATTATTAATTTTTATTACTATTTCGCATACAATTAATTGCAAATTTTTTTATTTAAGACCACATTTTGCTGATAATGTATTAGTGTGTTTGTAATACTAGATTAAAGAGTATACCCTATCCTTAATATAATAAAAATTGTGAACTAAATTACACAAAAAGTTTGTTGTGTTAAGCATTTAAATTATCATTTATTTACTATAGACATATGATTGCTGGCATATAAATTATTATTTAAGTCATCTAGTTAATATATTTTATTGCTATTGATATAATTACTGTATATTTTAGATGTAATAAAAATTTTCATTAATAGTTAAACCACTTTATTACAGGTCAATGTATTTATGACAATAAACGAATGTGTAGTGTATAATAAAAAATAGTTAATATAATATCTGATGTATCAAATGGTTAAAAGTCATTTTGAATTTAATATGAATTTATTAAATTTTTTGTTGTAATTTTTTTAGAAAGTTTCTTTATTCAATGCTAATTTTGCTCAAAAACTTTTAAAATTAAATAAATTTTATTATATATATATTTGAATTTAATACTAATCTAAAATAGTGTTTAATAAAAGATTTGGCATCTGTTACAAAAAATATTTATATTGAAATTATGTGAATTTAAAGATATTTTTATGTATTTTTATAAATAGCTTAAATTGAATTATATTTTTAAATAAATCGATGAAATTTAACATTAAAATATTTATGTTTTGAAAATTTCAAAACTATTCTATAAACATTTTTAAAAAAAAGTATCTTTAATAAATAAAATTCAAATGTATATACAGTAGTATTCAATATAAATGTTAGTCATCTTAAAATATTTATGCAATTTGTAATATTTAGAAATAGTTTTGGAAATTTTTTACAATTCATTTTATTATATAGGAATAAATAATATAAAAATATAAAATTCTGGTTAATAATTTTATATTTATAAAATTTACTTTAATATAAGTATACAGTAAAAATTTTAAAACGCTAAAATTAGATTAGTAAATGTTTTACTATAAATTCAATACACCATTTAAAAAATTTATTAACTAATAAATAGAATTTTATTCTATAAACAAATATATGATTAAAATATTATGTCAAATGTATATCAGTATTAAATAATAAATATAAAATAAATTAATTTTTACTGTTAATAACATTTATTATTTATTACTTGTAACAACTTGTATAATATTGTTTATTATCTTGTATATACTGTACTTACTGTATATAATACAATAGTATATACTGTATATAGTACTGTATAATTTAATACTGCATATTATAAAATACAATATTATTAAATATATACTTTATAGATAAGTTATTTTACAAATAACTTATATATATATATATATATATATATATATATATATATATATATATAGAGAGAGAGAGAGAGAGAGAGAGAGAGAAGAGTTTAATATTTAGTTGTGACTTGACTTATAATTTTAGTGTAGTCTTTATGTAACACACTTTTCACACACTTAACTGTATTTTTCTATTGTATTATTTTTTTTGTTAAGATATTCAATGTTCACAACACAGTTGCACTGTTAGGCAAACCCTTAGGATATAAGATAACAAAGTTTCTGTGACTGCTGTCAATGACTTTAATATTCTATCTATTAGTGGTTAAAGAATATTGAAGTTGTCTACTAATAGATAATATAAATACTCTATAGAAAAATAATATATATTTATAATAATAATAGTATTTTGTAAATATATAAATCATAAAACATAATAATTGCCAAAAACATAAAAATTTATTTTGAGCAATTAGAAAAAAACTATTGAATGTTAAAAGTTTTCTAAGTTAAACAATAAACGTAAACATAAAACATTGATAAAATTATTTTTATAAAAGTAATTTTTCAAACAAATGATTAATTTTAGTCTTCAGGCACCAAATGTTACATAAAAATTTTGAATTATTTATTCATTATAAGTAATATTTTGACTAAAAGTAATTTTAAACATTAGTTATCATGTCATTATAATTTGCCTAAAATAATAATAATAAAGAATTTAAGATTTATTTATAAATATTTACTATAAGTTTGTGTACAAAGTTTAACAAATGCATCCCTTATTATAAATATTTAAAAAGAAATGATGTATTGATTTGGGTTTTATTATAAGTTTTATACATATGATATATACTCTCTTTTAGTGTCATTAAGAAATAGGTATTTTCAGAGGATATCAAATACAAGAATATATTATTAAAACATTGCATTGAATTTGTTTTCTGGCAAACATTATATTCGACATATAATCTAATGTTATATTATTGTCAATAGTTTTGTACAGTTGTATAAAAAAATTTTAAAAGACTAACGGTTTACTCGATTTTTATATTATTAATATTAGAATTTTGTTTCAAAAAATGTATATTTTATATGTATTTTCTATATTTGAAAACTCATTGATGTTGAAAGTAAATGTTCATTGAAAATGTTTTACTCTTTCTTTATCCTAAATGACTCTAAAAATGAAAACTCAATACAATTTTTGTAAAGCCATAAAATATTTTGAAATATTAAAAACAAGTTGATATAATAGATATTATTAGTTTTTAAAATTCAATACATAAATACACCAAAAAACTATGCATTAATATAATTCTAAAAAAATTGTTATTTATTTATTTGGGATTTTCAAACACATTACTAAAACATTGATTGAAAGATTTATTTTGATGGCTTGTTTTATAATGACTTTTACAATAAAAATTTGTTTTCATTAATTTTTTCCTAACAATTTTAAGGTGTTTATCTTAATCTCTAGTGTATATCCCCCCAAAAAAATTGGACACTAAATAAATTTATTGAGACAACAACTATACAACTATACTACTTAACGTCACTGACATATTAAGACAACATTCAACAGAATAGTTGTCTCTCCCTGTCCTCCGATGTGATAATGCTTAAGACGTTTTCACTAATGGCTAATAAAGTAACTTATTATTGTCTCTCACAATGCCTCTAATCATCATTATATTTTTAGACCCTATTATATAACACATATTGTTTTCAAATGGCATCGATAGGATGGCATTTGATGAAAAAATAAAGGTTTGTCTCATACAAGTATTGATTTAATATAAAATTTATAAAATATAAATAATGATTCAAAATTAGAAAATGCATTTTACTATTACTTTTATAATTTACTTTATACAATAATCAGTAGTATAAACCAATAAAAGTATTGACTTTTAGGAAATCAATTTATTTTCAAATATTAAAAATTATAATTTTTAATAAAATAAGCATTTGATATATCAAAAAAAAAAATCAAACTTCAACATTATAAATTGAAATAATCCAATTTAATGTTATTTAAAATATAATGTTCATAAATATTATTTTTAAGTCTTAATATAATTTTTTTTATTGATATTACTAATTTTAGACATTAAGTAAATTATAAAATAAATTAATCTTTTTAATTTTAAAATTTTGGTTAACTAAAGTCCTGATGGCTATGCCTTAGATTGTAACATATTATATAACATTAATCTGAAGTCCCATTAAATATAACCATATAAGTGAAGTCAAAAAGCCATATATTTGAGGAACAGCTGCACAACCATTGGAAGGAAACAAAAAATCAAAAAAATATTTTTTAACCAAAAATAATGGTCTGACGCCCTCTCCCTCTACTGACTCAAACACTTTCCATTGTATTTATTGTTGTCATAAGTAATCACTTAAATAACATGTTTTTTGTTTTTCTTTTACACAAACATTAATACTTTGATGTCATAAATGATATTAAAGTATGAAATGCTAGACTAGAAAAGTATTTTACGATTTATAGCATTTCTTTTTAAATACGTTTTTAAAGTAGCATTTCATTCATAAATTTCATCATTTGTTATGTTTTTGTGTTTTATACAGAATTATGAAATAAATATTATAGCAACTAATTGTTTAATTTTTTTTGACCAAATTTACCATTAAATGTAATACAAGAATAATAATAAAAAATTATATATATATAATGTAAGTACTATAATTTAGCAATTTGTTATATTATAAGTTATGAATTAACCTACAAACTTAATGACCTGGACTACATTGCAAATAGTATAACAATTTTTTTTGACAAATAGTCTATTTTGTGAATTGTCCAGACAAAAATTGTTGGTCACTTTAGCTTAAAATTACTATAAACTAT